CAAAATCATCCGTATTATATACCGGGTATGGCGCCTCTGTAAGGATGTCGTAAGGCAGACGTTTATCTGTGCCATAGACAATATAGTAGGGTGTTTTGCCCGTAGAGCTATTAACTGACCCATTAATCGACGCTGCAACCTGCGGTAACCAATCCTCCCATGCGTATTGAAAACCATTAACGATTGGACGTAGTATTTCTAGGATTTTACGATTGGTTGTTTCAACAAGGCCATTAGCCTGTGGATGATAAGCTGTCACAAAAGTTTGTTTAATTCCATATTGTGCACATATATGCTCTATTAGCTCATTCTTGAACTCTGTTCCATTATCAGAGAGTAGAACTTTAGGCGTAGTATATGGACATATGGGATTCATCACTAATGCATAGGCTACTGCTTCGGCCGTTTTGCTTTTTAGTGGGACCAAGACCACGAACCTGGAAAAATGATCCACACACACTAAGACGTATCCTGATCCCTGATGACTCATTGGGAGTTGTAACACATCAACAGCGACTGTGTCAAACGGACGGTCTGGTGTAGGATATTGTAGAATCGGGGCAGGTGATCCTGTTGATCCTTTATGTTGAGCACACGCCAAACAATTAGCTATGTGTAATTCTATGTCTTTCTTCATAGTGTTCCAGAAATACTTCTTTCGTAAATCCGCTAAGCATTTATCACGACCTTGGTGACCTGCTTGTGGGACATCGTGGAACAATGTCATTACTGCTTTGCGCAACGTGTCAGGTACGACTATTTGAGACACATTACCCTCAGGAGATTTTCTCGTCCTATTGAGTATGTTATGTCGTAACTCAAACTGACTTAAGGGAAGAAATAACTTGGGGAGTTTAACATCCTCGCCCGATTCGAGAGCAAAAATAACAGCTGACCAATATGGGTCGCGTCGTTGCTCATCTTCCAGCTGCGAAAGAGTGAATGTTGATACAGGCATTACTGGTGCTATATTTCTTGACAGAGCGTCGGCGACAACATTCGCCCTCCCAGGTAAATACCTAAATTCGGGGTCAAACTCTTGAATTGTCAGATACCAGCGTGCTAATCTGCCTGATAAGTTTCTGCCATGGAACAGTTCGGTGACTGCCGCATGATCAGTAAAAACAGTTATCTTGTAGCCAAAGATAATGTCTTTGAACTTCTTAAGTGCCCACACAACGGCTAACGTTTCTAGATGCGTCGCCGAATAACGTGTTTCAGCATCGATTAGTTTGCGACTTGCAATTGCTATCACTCTAAACTTCCCACGCTTGTCCTCTTGCATGAGCACTGCTCCGACTCCAATTCCGGGAGCGTCAGTACAGAGAGTGAAAGGTTGAGTGTAGTCTGGGAATGCTAGAACCGGGGCATTGGTTAGCGCTGTCTTCAATGCCGTAATACTTTCCTCGTGTTCAGCATCCTATATAAACACTGCATCTTTTTTTTTGAGCAAACTCGTTCGGGGCGATGCTAATGTTGCATAGTCCTTGATAAAGGAACGATAATAACCAGATAATCCGAGAAGGCTACGCACATGATCATTTGAGGTAGGACGCGGGAACTGAGATACAGCTTTGACTTTATCATTAACTGTGTGTATGCCCTCACCGTCGACTACATGACCAAGGAAATGGATTCTGGATTTTAAAAACTCGCACTTTGAGAGTTTTATTTTGAGGCCTGCTGTGGAAAGTTTGGCCAAAACTTCACGCAGTTTTATCAGATGGGAATCGACGTCCTTACTGACTACTATTAGATCATCCAAATAAGCGCAGACTGTGTTACCAATTAGTCCGGCAAACAGGGTGTTGATCATTCTTTGAAATGTTAGTGGGGCATTTCTGAGACCAAATGGCATTCGTAGAAACTCAAAGTGGCCTAGAGGCGTGCTAAATGCCGTGATTTCTCGTGATTTTTCATCGAGTGGTATTTGCCAATACCCACTAAGCAAATCTAAGTTGCTAAATACCGCATTATCCTTGCCTAAGGATTGCAATATGTCACTCAAGATAGGCATTGGGTACCTATCAGGGATTGTTTGATCATTTACGCGCCTGAAATCTATGACAAGGCGCCATCCACCATCCTTTTTCGGGACGAGGAATAATGGGCTATTAAAGGGGGATTTTGAGTGTCTAATGACATTCTCATCTAACATACCCTGTACCATATCTTGCACTACAGCGCGCTGGCTATGAGGTAGTCTATAAGCTGGTACGTAAATAGGGTTGGTTCCTTCCTTTAACGCTATATGATGGGATGTTAAATCTGTCTGACCTAGCGTTTCCCCTGGCAAGGCTACTATTACTGTAGTCGGCAAGCAGCTCTAACAGGCGTGTCTTGCCCTGAGGATGATCGATCACCTTGACATGTGGCGCTATTTGATCTATCCTGGCCAGTCGAGTCTGTTGGCAATTCGCAACAATACCTCGAATTAGGAATTTATTTGGTTGCACTTCGACATTGCTGTGATATCTATAAAATCACACACATAACATCCTTTCTTTAATTTCTTGATAATGTGAAATTGCTCCCGCAATCCCGTAGACTTGTGTGTGTGTGTCACAGTAGACACAGCTGATTCCAAGGTCCGGTGATTGGGTCAATGCTCACAAAAATCCTGAGTACAGCAAACCGCCGCTAATTGTTACACAACGTCATCCACAACACCATACCTCAGAATGCTGAGACCATCTCTAAGACCGGATGTGTCATCATCACTAGGGTGGGTGCTGGGTGCTGGTAACTGGGGGTTGTTCACGCCATACGAAATAATTTTGTTGACAGGATGTTGACTTATGAGTAGTCACAACAACTGCAGTCACGTCCTGTCACACCCTGGGCAGTGAACGAATCATTTGCAGAAACTAATGTTCACTTCAGCTCACAGGATTGTTGCGTTGGTGAATTCCTCATTCTGGTAATGGAGAGTACTCTTCAACATTGCAGGTACTATCTTCCAACTCTTGCTGCTGTAATCACGCTGGGAAGGTGTGTGGTTGAGGTCGAGAGATATCTCTGACGCATGATCCGCCTTCCTCTTAATAGGATTGGTAGACAACACCTTCGTCCTAGCGGTGAGCATAGGTTCAGAATGACTCATTGCTGTGTAGGAAACACCTTAAACGTAACACTATTATTACGTGGATGAACATCTATCATGTTCTTTCGAAGAGTTGGTAGACCAAGTAACCCGTCAGCTGGCAAATTGAACTGCTGAACTATATAAAAGTCCGCGTAGAAGGGCGTACCACGTCTTGAGAATCTGAGTGGTAACGTCACCATTCCTTTGATGCTCAGCTGAGTACCTGAAACTCCTTCGAGCTCAGCGTTACTAGGCCTCCATTTGAATTTGCGGTGAGGGAATTTACGTTGTAACTCGTGATATGATGTCAAGGCCAATACATTAGCGCAAGCACCTGTGTCTATATCAAGAGCCAATCTGGTATTATCCACTCTCACCGGTACTGACAACACTTCCACTTTGCTAAGCGCCGCTATTAATGAGGCCGCTATAGAAGTGCTGTGAGGAGGGGCGGGAATTACCCTATCTATCCCTCTCCTTGCTGTAGTGTGCGCTGGTCTTCCCCCGATGACTTGTCCTGGGGACGTTTCTGCTTGCGCCTATACGACACCTCCGTTTCACTTAGGTCCACTCCCCTAGCTTTTATTAGTATATCGCACTCATGTGAACTATGAGATGTCGATTTGTGAAGAGCGCACCATTTGCGCACTGTCTGGGTAGGAGGAGGAGGTGCTGCTTTAGCTCCCTCTCTGTTTGACCTTGAGAATGGCTTTGCACCGGGTGTGGCTTTATTTGCACTATTACCTCGGAGCTGAAAACAATCTTCCATTACGTGGCCACGTTCATTACAATGTGCGCATCGTAACGATGTTTTCTGTTTATATGTTAGGCGGGGAGGAGCGATCGGAGCTAAGTGTGTCGCGTAAGGAGTCTGGGAGTGAGGCATCTGTGGCATCTGTGACGGCTGGCCCAGCTGTGACCTACCCCCAATAATCCCAATTAGCGTTCGCTTGAACTTTTCATAGTCAGGGCTTTGTAAACCAAACGCATTTAAACGACTGCCTGCATAGGAACCCTGCGTTATATGGGAACGTACATATGCTTTCTTATCTTCGTCAGTCGTTATGTGACTATTGCGCATGCTATCTTCACATGCACGAATAAAATGTGCGACCCTATAATCGTCTTGTCCCGTGAAATTTCGAACATAATCGCCGCGCTGCATGATATTAATAACAGTATCAGCTTTAGGTGTGGTAGTAGTACTGGTGTGAAGGTTAGAGGACGCCATTGTAGTGTTATTAAGCAAGTTAGTATTCTTACTCTTAACAGAAAGCTGGGTTAATAAGGTTGTTACCGATTTAGCAACAGACACACTATCACCTGTAACAGGGGTAACTGCTTTAGTATACTTAGGTGAGGTACTATAGTGATTACCAGACCGTAGGGTACGACGGTTTAAGTCGTCAAATGATTCGTCTATAACTTTCTCACTACTTCCTACCGACTCATTTAACTGTGTTCCATACTCAAAATCTATGTCAGTCTGGGCTTGATCATTGATGAGTTGGTTATCAGCAAATAGTTGCGCTAGGCGTTCGATTTCATCTACATTAGACATGGGAAACTTAGAAATTATCTATTAGCCCCCTTGGGTCAATGAATACTTAACAGTAAGTAGATCACTTGCCTCTCATTTACAAGACAAATGAATATGTTTTGTAGTTAATTATTAAACTATCAATAAGTAAACAGACACTTACAAACTACTGTAAATTATAGGATTCCAATACATTAATCTTACATTCGACACTTTATCATTGAAATAATCCTATCCGACGAACCTATCGGTGTGAAGATATCTCTCGAACGTGTTCATGTGTGTAGAATTATGTAATTTAAATACCTATTTATACAGGGTGTAACGTCTGCTGGTTTCCTTGGCAACGAGATGACGCTTCTGCTTTGGTGAGAGACGAGTCCACTTGATTTAGGTGAGTTCCTCCTCCCGCGATCAGAAAACTGATGATTGGTTATCACACTGGTCGTGCTGGTTCGCTGGCGAAAACTGCCGTGTGCCAATGCTTCACAGACCACGTATATATGGAGATCTGTATGATGACACCGGAATTCGTAATTCGCTCTGACGACACAACAATACTGCTCAGCTGCTAGTGAAATACCAATTGAATTCCAGGTTACGAAACTGTTGTTCAACACTGCAACACTGTAATGTCTAGGGAATGCTGAGTGGAGTCTATCTCAACCGGCTCAATCTGGATATATACCAACAGGCTGTAATATTTGTATATTACGAATTCTGCACGTATTTGTATGTGACAGAGATAAGGAGCGCTCACTACATATCGTCTCAATACGGGATATAGTTTTAAACACTCGGATTATGTAACGCGTCACTGTTGTGTGTTTTCTTGTTTTTCACAAGACACAGACGGATGATACGACTACCAGTTTGAAGAATCCGTACACACCGCTTGCCACCTATATGAATCGGCTGCTTGTCCAATTAACCAGTCCGTTCACACATATTTATATTTGGGTTTTAAGTAACGAAACCCAAACGGTAGTTCCTTTGTTTTATTATAAAAGGTTGTATATATAATTCCTGAGTGTATATCAACCGTAAGTCTCACTGTCTAGGAGTGAATGAGAAGGGGACGGCGTTTATGTATGATAAACGTTAAGTCACGTCCTTACGATATGAGTTGAGGTGGGCTACTGAAGCTTAGGGGCATCGCAGTGCGTGCTTACAGATATGCTGAGCTATGGGTCTCGCCCTCTTGGGTAAGTTGCCCGCTCACGTGTCAATCTCATGTCTTACTCATAGACAGTGGAAAGTTACAGGGTGGTGAATCTGAATATAATATCAGATGTATTGACCCATTTATATAATACGTTCTGTTGATGAGACAGAGGCCTATTACAATGCTCCTGATATCACACTGGTTATATTACATAGTGAGAATATCCGGAATGTGGTTATCTTTTTCGGTTATGTTAGTTATGTAGACATACTGACAGACATACATACATACATACATACATACATACATACATACATACTGTTACGAACCCCTCCACCCAGCACTACGAACCACGCCATCTATTGTCCTGATCTACCTACCCAGCACCCCGAGCAACGCCATCTAGGGACGAGACACGAGTATGACTCGTCTTAGTTACCACTCCGAGGTTTCCCTTCTCCATATCCTGGGTTGCGTCACCTCCTCAGTCTTCTTTGTCAGCTCCAATTCGAGGAGAGGGCACTTGGCTCTGGGAAGTGACCACAGGATCATCTATCCTCTAAACCTACGTGCAGTGACTACCTACCGTCTTCTACAATACTCAGCCTTACTCGTCAGCCATCTCAGCTCCTCACTTAAGTACTATTATCCTGTATTAACTTCCCCACGTCCACTTGCTTCGAGATTGTTTTATGTTTATTAATATGTATATACTGTTAATGTTTAGGTTAAGTTTGGTTAAGGGTAATTTATAAGCTGAATATTTTGTTAAGGGATTTATGGTACTCTATTATATACAACGAAAACTCGCATCCTTTGTCTACCCTTTTATAGTCCGATTGTCTTTTTTGTTTTTTATTGTTGTTACCTGTTGGGATCTGGGTAGACGTATAACTATATTCTAAATCCCCAACTCGTAACAAATGGCGACCGTGACAGGATACGACCTTAAGTACCATATTCCTTCCTCCCTTGTTACTCAGTGTTAATTATTCCTCCCAGTCACTTCTGTTCTCAATTGCTTTACGGTAGTTTAAAGTTCCCTTCATATGTGTGTGCATATATTGGTATTATCGTATAGTAAGAGTGACAGACGTAGGATATTAGGTTCCAAGTGTCATAAAAGAGCACACCATTTATTACACATCGAATCTCAGCTAGGATCATCTTATTATTATCATTAATCAATCTTATAAAATATATACACTCTTTTCAAGTATATCCGGGTTGTAATCCGGATCTTTATATTTATATAAATATTTTGCCCTACACTCTTTCCGTCTCTTATCCTTATCTAAGGATCTTCTCCAGAAGAACAATAATCACATAAGTGTAATTTCCTAGGTATAACTTGGATTTAGTTTTCGGGACTTTTCTGGTTTTATATACGTATTTTCTAGGGTTATCACTTATCTTATCTTTTGGACCATTAGTTAATTTATCCTATTTTCTTAACAATGGCCACCTCAGGTTTTGATCTCCAAAATTTTTATTGAAAAATCCTTCCGTAGCTAAATTGCGTGTTAATATCCTGGAAGAAAGGAATGGAAAGAAATGGCCAACTATTATAATATCCCATTTTTCACAGCAACTGACTGAAATGTTTAAAAATCATGTGATTCAGAGTGCTTTGGTTCAACGGAAGTTTTAAAAGAATCCGCTGTTGACAGATTAGCATACATGTGAAGCTTCAACCACTATCCACCACCCTCCTCACTCAGGATTTGCCTCAGGTCTGGCTGGCCACTCAAGAAGAAACGCAACGAATAGACGCCTTAGAACTAGAACGAGGCTGGGTTCGAGTTCCAAATCAAATGAAAGAACTAGAGTTGGAACAGACCAGTTAGACAAAAGTTGGAGCATGAGGGAAGGTCGGAACAGGCCAAGGATTGGAGCATGAAATGATGGAACAGGCCAAGTTGGAGCATGAGGGAAGGTCAGGTGGGCAAGTTGGGCATGAGGGAAATGATGGAACGGGCCAAGTTGGAGCAGGAGGTTAGACTGAAGAACTACAGGTAAGAGGGAATGAAGTCACCTTAACATCAGGTTCAGATCGAAGAAGTGGCATTAAGAGAGAGAAACTAGCTGCTTTTAACCCTGCTACTGCTTCTTCCCTTGTTCCGGGTTTGATGAATCCGATATGGACGGAGTCATTTAGGACTTTTGAAAATAGCGGGAAGAATGAGTGTAAGGACAAGTGGGTGTCAGTGTTAGTTCCTAAATTATATGGTAAGGCTCGTAAGTTTATAACTGTTTAGACCAGACTGATGACTGATATTAACGTAAAAAAGAATATCCTCACCTCTTATGCTATCACGCCAGATGGATACCGGCGAGTTTCACAAGTAAACTAACAAACCATTTCCCACACCTTTGTTGGAGTTTGCTCAAGAAAAGCTTGGGTTTTTTAAGAAGTGGTTAGAGGCTACAGAGACCTCCACATTTTGGGATTTGTTAAATTTGGTAGTCCTGGAGGAGTGGAAAGGAAAATGGAATACCATTTCACACATCTTGAAGCATGTGGAGGCGTGGAGAGAGGTTAATTTGGGGCGTGCTGCTGAGGCTATTTGATGCGTACGCGCTTTGTTGGTCAGTCACTGGGCAGTAGAGAACGTGGTACTTCCCGACATGGTAGGTCCTCCTCTGATGATAACCTTGGGAACGTGAGTGGTAGGTCGAAAAGTCCCTACTCCCCGATGCAGCCAAACACTTGTTTCTTACTGTAAAACCCAGGCCATACGATCCAGAATTGTAAACACCCAAAGTGTCGAATTGCTAAAGTAGTTCCTGGATCCCAAATCCAAACCAATATAGAAACACCAATGTGGAAAAGGCCCCATCAGGATCTCTTCTCTTCATTCACCTATGAGGAAAAATTTCAATCATGGAGGGGTCTCGTTCTTTCCTATTCGTATGCTACGTGATACGGGCGCAGCACAATCTATCCTCCTGTTTAACGTCATTCCTGATATATCTACCGCATTTACTAATGAGAGTGTTCTAATTTCGGATCTCTCATCCCATTCTTCCTATCCTTTAGCTAAAGTGCACCTCAATGTCACATGATGATTACTGGGAAGTGCAAATAGCCAAGGAAAGACCAATGCCTGTGTGCGGCATTCATTTTATTATTGAGTAATGACTTGGTAAGCAGGAGATCTAGTGGTTCCCTAACATAAGACAGTCGACTCTCCTTACCATCCAACTCCACCACTGACCTTAAAAACTATTCCTCATCTTTTCCCATCTTGTGCTGTCACCCCGGTCACAAATTTGTGCGAAATGGGCCCTCTTCATCTAAAAGCCCACCTCTAATATCTTCACTACCCACAGAAGATCTGTACAATAGATAGCTAGTAAGGAGGGCTCGTTAAAACCCAACAATCTGATCCATCTTTGACTAAACTTCATCATGCAGCAGTTGAGGGTAAAGATTTTTAACACCCTTCCGTGTTTTATTATCATGAAGGGAGGTTTTGATGAGGGCCTATAGGCCCCTGAGCTGCCCATCTAGACACGTGGTCTGAAATACATCGAAGTGGTAATTCCCTCAGTCAGACCAGCATTAATTGCCCCTTGCCCATGATGATGGTATTTCGGGACATTTGGGAATCCTGAAACATATAAAAGCTCCTCCAACACTATTATTGGCCTGGACTTAGGAAGGATGTGTCAAAATACCTAAAATCTTGTCATATTTGTCAAATGGTAGGAAAACCAAATGAAAGTATACCAGCAGCTCCCATTAAGCCCATCCCAGTATTTTCTACACCATTTGAAAAGATTGTTGTGGATTGTGTGGGCCCATTACCACCCAAGACTAAGAAGGGGAAATCAATTCTGCTCACAGTTATGGATACCAGTACGTTATCCTGAGGGCTTTTCCTTGGCATCAATTCAAAAACGTAATCAGAAGCATCTTTTTAAAGCTACATTGGGCATTCCTAAAGAGAGATCCAATCCGATGGGGGCACCAATTTTACAGGCAATCTTTTCAAACAGGTGATGAAAGACCTCAGTGTGGACCATTGTACATCTTCGGCTTACCACCCACAATCCCAAGGTTGCTTGGAACGGTTCCATCAAACTTTCAAATCAATGATCAAAAAATATTGTATAGAACACCAAAAGGAATGGGATGAAAGCATAGACTTGTTACTTTTTGCCATCAGGGAATGTCCCCAGGAGTCATTGGGATTCTCCCCGTTCGAGTTACTATATGGGAGACAAATTAGGGGACCCCTTAAAATAGTAAAGGAGCAGTGGTTTGACACTCCATCTATTAAGCCCGCAACAGTTTCCCAATACATTGACACTTTACGGGACAAATTAACTGAAGTCCGAACCATTGCTCAGTCAAACTTAAAAAAAGTCCAAGACAAAATGGTGAAGTCCCAACCTAAATTAGTTAAAGATCATTTTCTCCAGGTGACAAAGTGTTACTCTTTCTCCCCATTCCAGGCTCTCCCCTTAAAAGCAAGTTTACTGGTCCCTACATAGTTGCTGATAAACTATCTCCCCTCAACTATATAGTCCATACTCCTGATCGCCGAAAAGATTCACAACTTGTTCACATTAATCTCATGAAACTTTACCATTCCAGGCAGTCAGAGGAAGACATCCCAGAGGCTATAAGCCAACCTGTATTGCATACGGTTTTGTCAGGGCCGGAGCCGGAGACAGATGACATGGACCTATTGGAGAATTTAGACTTCCCTCTACCTAAAGAAAACCCTGCTAACAGTCACATACTCAACAACTTGGATGAGTATTTTTCTGTTCTGAATCCATCTCAAGCAAAAGATCTCACTAAGTTAGTATCAACATTTCCTAAAGTCACGTCAGACCTCCCAGGGGTTTGCAATATACTTAAACATGATATTAAGCTAATCTCAGATGATGTACAACCCATTAGGCAATCAGCATATCGACTAAATCCACAAAAAAGAAAGATTATGAAAAAAGAGGTAGATTTTTTGTTAAAACCTAACTTAGCTGAGCCTAGTACCTCCCCCTGGGCTTCACCTTGCCTTCTCATTCCAAAACCCGATGGCACTTTTCGTTTCTGTACCGATTATCGTAAAGTGAACCAGGTCACTGTCTCAGACTCCTACCATTTACCTTTGATTGAAGATATAATAGACAGCATAGGCTGTGCCAAATTTATCAGTACGGTGGACTTATTGAAAGGATATTATCAAGTGGGACTCACGGATAAGGCAAAAATAATCTCGGCATTTATAACTCCATTTGTTCTTTTTCAATATTTGGTTATGGAGTTTGGCTTTTCTAATGCTCCGGCCACATACCAGAGGGCCATCAACTACCTTATTCAGGACCTAGGTGGGACGTTCGCCTACCTGGATGACCTGGTGGTGGTATCGGACGGCTGGGACGAACATCTGGTGCGTTTGGAGATACTGTTCGCACGACTGCAAGAGACTGGATTCACCATAAACCTGGCTAAATCTGCTTTTGGCCGGGCCTCAGTGACTTACCTGGGACATATCGTTGGGCATGGTATGGTGAGACCTAAGGACGCAAACGTTAAAGCCATCTTGTCCTTCCCCACTCCAAGGACGAGGAAGGAACTCATGCGCTTCCTGGGGATGTGCGGCTACTACCGTCGGTTCTGCAGTGCATCTCTCCAGCGGACCCCCACAGACCTTACCAGTTCTGGTGTCCCTCATAACGGAACCAGGAGGACCAGTCTTTCCAGCACTGGCCTCAAAGCCTTCTCTTTGCCCCCAAGCCTGTAGTCCACCCCCTGACTACACTCTCGCCCTTCCATCTGCAAATTGACGCGGTGGTGTCGAGCAACAGTTCCCTACAACGACCCAACCATCGATGTTCTTCACCCTGTGGCATATTACTCCGCCAAGTTGAAACATCGACCACCACTGACCATAGAGAAGGAGGCCTGGCTCTGGTGTTGGCAATAAAGAAGTTTGAATGTTACCTCCAGTCTAGCCCACAAACAACCCTAGTCTTCACCGACCATAACCCACTCACGTTCATCCAAACCAACAAGACCTCCAACCAGCGAATCCTCCGCTGGGCTCTCCTCACCCAGCCCTATAATCTACAAATCCGGCACATAAAGGGGGTCGATAACCTGATTGCAGACTCCTTATCCCGAGCTCCAGTGGAAATGCAGCAGCTACTCTCCAGACGCACCAGGTGATCACCTCCTTCGCGCCCGCGCCACGGAGGTCTTTGGAGGGGGGGTGTTACGAACCCCTCCACCCAGCACTACGAACCACGCCATCTATTGTCCTGATCTACCTACCCAGCACCCCGAGCAACGCCATCTAGGGACGAGACACGAGTATGACTCGTCTTAGTTACCACTCCGAGGTTTCCCTTCTCCCTATCCTGGTTGTTGCGTCACCTCCTCAGTCTTCTTTGTCAGCTCCAATTCGAGGAGAGGGCACTTGGCTCTGGGAAGTGACCACAGGATCATCTATCCTCTAAACCTACGTGCAGTGACTACCTACCGTCTTCTACAATACTCAGCCTTACTCGTCAGCCATCTCAGCTCCTCACTTAAGTACTATTATCCTGTATTAACTTCCCCACGTCCACTTGCTTCGAGATTGTTTTATGTTTATTAATATGTATATACTGTTAATGTTTAGGTTAAGTTTGGTTAAGGGTAATTTATAAGCTGAATATTTTGTTAAGGGATTTATGGTACTCTATTATATACAACGAAAACTCGCATCCTTTGTCTACCCTTTTATAGTCCGATTGTCTTTTTTGTTTTTTATTGTTGTTACCTGTTGGGATCTGGGTAGACGTATAACTATATTCTAAATCCCCAACTCGTAACAATACATACATACATGCGTACATACATGCGTACATACATACATACATACATACATACATACATACATGCCCCAACAGATGAGGTCACAGAAAGACATACAGACACAGGTATACATAGAAACACATACAGATACAGCCATAGATACAGACATAAATACAGACACAGACATAGATACAGTCAGACACACACAAACAGACATAGTTATAGACACAGACACAGACACAGACATAGATACAGACACAGACACTAACCCCCAATTAACGGACTATGTGTGAGATCCTAGTACGTTATATCGAGGTTCGTAAGATAAAAACCTCTCTTTAACGGACTATATAGGAGAGTACAATCCCTTATATGGAGGCTTCACTGTATGCTATATTAAAACAATAACGGAATATTTGACTATAAGCTTAAACAACAGCACATTTAAAGGATCCGATTCCTTTTAATAGGCTTCAATAGCAAATAAGAGAATCGAATCCCTTATGTTCACACTCAATTCCATGTATAACTGTACTTGAATAACTATGGACTTTAAGTATAGAATTCTATGTATGTTTTCACTTACGGTTTATTTGTTGTTATTGTCGTTGTTATGTACGTTTTTCACTTAAGATTCACTGTATATATTTGTTGTTGTTGTTGTTGTTGTTGTTGTCTGGTGAAGCTTAAATGACATTGTTATTAGGATAAACAAATGACTGACTGATTGAGGTTGCATGAAATATTAATATCTCTAACTACTAATTCATCAGGAAACTATTAACAAATTAACAAATAATTAACATAAGTGTAAATAGAAACTGCTAATTACACCCAGAAATTTGTTGACACCTGAACGAGAGAGGAAGGGGGGAGGGTGAAGGAGGGGGAGGGGGGGTCGCTAAATTAAAATTCTCCTTCCCCCTCCCCGGTCTCCCTCCTCCTCCCCGGTCTCCTCCCTCCCTCCCCCTGGTCTCTATCCCTCCTCCCTTAGGTTACCTGTCCACCATCATCAATCACTTAATTAACATGGCTTACCTGTGAGAGAGTTTATTAATTGCTTTTAAAACTTTTTCCCTCAAACACCTTTCATTCGTTAATTACTCTCATGGTTTTTTTTTAACCAGGTAATTTATCAGGTAACATTGGGGACTTAATTAGTATTTCATTTCAATTAGGTGTATCATCATCATCATCATCATCATCATGGGTTGAGTTATCATTGTATGCGTTAAATCATCGTATTTAATCTTTCATTCCATTTCAGTTAGTCAATAAGGTGGTTGGGTTTAGGTTAGGTTAGGTTAGGATAGGTTAAGGGTAGGTTGGGTTAGGTTAAGGATGGTAAAGGTTAAGAATAGATTAGAGACAGACAGACAGACAGACAGATAGACAGATAGATAGACAGATAGACAGATACCATAAACAGCATAATCTTTATATAAGTCCCTCACACCTGTACAATAAACACACCTGGTGAGCTTAATTACACCTCAGGTAATTAATAATACACAGGTGACCCTTGATGTCAAATGAGAACCTTTAATTACAGGCAAATAACGTATAATTACGTCTCAGGTAGATTTAAGGTGTTTAGGTGATAATCCTCATTAATTTTACCTGGACAGGATACTGGTAATTAGCGTACGATTATTTACGGTTTGTTTGAAAATGACGTATAATTAGTGTGAGTAATTAGAGGAAGGGAAAAGACCTAGTTAGTTTGGGTGTTTGTGTATGTTTTGATGATAATTGATGTATAATTGATGGCTGTTGGGATAATTTACTTTCATAACAAGATGCTGGAATTATAGCTTTCAAATCGCCCCTTTTGATAATAATAATAATAATAATAATAATAATAATAATGATAATGATAATAATAATAATGATAATAATAATAATAATAATAATAATAACAATAATAGTAATAATAATAATAATAATAACAATAATAATAATGATGATAATAATAATTCAACCAATGTCTTCGTAAAAAAATCTGTCGACGATAAATCAGCATATACCACACACTCCCTTCCCTCCCTCCTTCCCCCTTTCCCCCTCCCCTCCTCTACTCTCTCCCTCCCCCATTATGCAACACAGACCACCAGTCAAAGAAACACACTTACCACCCCTACGACACAGACAGATCCCAACCTAACCTAACCTAACCTAATATAAAATAACCTAACCTAATATAACCTAACCCAACCTAATATAAAATAACCTAACCTAACCTGACATAAACCTAACCTAATCTAACCTAACCTATATCTTGTATTTCAGAAGGTGTTCAACAGGAAGAGATAGACGAGAGGAACAACGGGAAGAAGGAGACAATGGAGACGAAAGAGGTTCAACGGGAAGAGATAGACGAGAGGAACAACGGGAAGAGGGAGATGTTAGTGACGAAACGGGTTCAGGAGGAAGAGATTCAGAAATTCCAGAAGATGGGATTCAAAATATACAAGGCAATGCTTCGTCTTGGCCCTAAGGAAATGTTGATGCATAAATCGTGAGTCTACCTAGCTTGCTTCACTGGCCACACATTCATTCTAGCTTCTTCACTGGCCACATATTCATTCTAGCTTCCTTCACTGGCCAAATATGTCATTCTAGCTTCCTTCACTGCCCACACATTCATTCTAGCTTCCTTCAATGGCCAAATATGTCATTCTAGCTTCCTTCACTGGCCACACATTCATTCTAGCTGCCTTTACTGGCCACACTATCATTCTAGCTTCCTTTACTGGCCAAATATGTCATTCTAGCTTCCTTCACTGGCCACACTATCATTCTAGCTTCCTTCAATGGCCAAATATGTCATTCTAGCTTCCTTCACTGGCCACACATTCATTCTAGCTTCCTTCACTGGCCACACATTCATTCTAGCTTCCTTTACTGGCCACACTATCATTCTAGCTTCCTTTACTGACCAAATATCATTCTAGCCTTCACTGGCCACACATTCATTCTAGCTTCCTTCACCACAACATGTCATTCTAGCTTCCTTCACTGGCCACACACTCATTCTAGCTTCCTTCACTGGCCACACATTCATTCTAGCTTCTTCACTGGCCACATATTCATTCTAGCTTCCTTCACTGGCCAAATATGTCATTCTAGCTTCCTTCACTGCCCACACTTTCATTCTAGCTTCCTTTACTGGCCAAATATGTCATTCTGGCTTCATTCACTCATCCTCTATCTCAAAAATTCATGCTAGAGAGATAATAGTTAATTGCTTTACCTGTACTTCTCTCCAGGTGATAATAGTTAATTGCTTTACCTGAATATCTCTCCAGGTGATAATAGTTAATTGCTTTACCTGAATATCTCTCCAGGTGATCATAGTTAATTGCTTTACCTGAATATCTCTCCAGGTGATAATAGTTAATTGCTTTACCTGAATATCTCTCCAGGTGATAATAGTTAATTGCTTTACCTGTATTTCTCTCCAGGTGATAATAGTTAATTGCTTTACCTGTACTTCTCTCCAGGTGATAATAGTTAATTGCTTTACCTGTACTTCTCTCCAGGTGATAATAGTTAATTGCTTTACCTGAATATCTCTCCAGGTGATAATAGTTAATTGCTTTACCTGAATATCTCTCCAGGTGATAATAGTTAATTGCTTTACCTGAATATCTCTCCAGGTGATAATAGTTAATTGCTTTACCTGAATATCTCTCCAGGTGATAATAGTTAATTGCTTTACCTGTATTTCTCTCCAGGTGATAATAGTTAATTGCTTTACCTGTACTTCTCTCCAGGTGATAATAGTTAATTGCTTTACCTGTACTTCTCTCCAGGTGATAATAGTTAATTGCTTTACCTGAATATCTCTCCAGGTGATAATAGTTAATTGCTTTACCTGAATATCTCTCCAGGTGATAATAGTTAATTGCTTTACCTGTACTTCTCTCCAGGTGATAATAGTTAATTGCTTTACCTGTACTTCTCTCCAGGTGATAATAGTTAATTGCTTTACCTGTACTTCTCTCCAGGTGATAATAGTTAATTGCTTTACCTGTATATCTCTCCAGGTATCTCCAGTATGCTGACGAACATTACAACTTTGGGTTCAGGAGTGATGATGTGATGGTGTTGTCTTTCCCTAAGAGCGGCACCACTTGGACCTCTGAATTAGTGTGGTCCATGAAACACCCGCACCAGCTGCACCTTCTTCAGGATCTCTCACCCCAGGATCGGATTTTTTGGCTCGATTTGGTAAGGTTAGGTTACTCTAGGTAGATTAGGTTAGGTTAGGTTAAGTTACCTCATTCTAGTAGTCAACATTTATTACCTTTAAACTCAAGTATATTCTCTTCACGGTTTTCAAATAATATCCTAAGGTCATATCCTGTAGGACTTCGTGAACCCCGTTGATCCTATGGAGGACGCGACCTTGGAGATGAAGAAGTTCCGGCAGAGATTCCCTGGAGACCTCCCAGAAGATGGGGTCAAGCTCAAGGTGGCGTCTAGTGAACCTGGCCCAAGGCACATCCAGTCAAACTTCATGCTTAGCTGTTTTAATCCTGACCTCCTCAACAGGTGTAAGGTGAGCTACAGGTGTGCTACAGGTGTATAGGTGAGCTACAGGTGAGCTACAGGTGTAAACAGAGAGATGGAGATTAATTAGCGTATATATTAATCCATAGGTTTCAGTCTGTGGTCGAAACTGTTCAGGAAGAATAGACGAAAGAAAATGAACTAAACTTAAATTGCAATCTATCTATCTGTCTGTCTGTCTGTCTGTCTGTCTGTCTCACTACTCTCCTTCCTCCAAACAGGTCATCTACGTGGCTCGGAACCCAATGGACGTGTGCCTGTCATTCTACCACTTCTTGAGTAACATGGCCAATGGTTCACAACGAGTCTTCATGGGTGAATTCGAGGACTTTGTAGAAGGTTTTATGGGAGACTGTGTAGCGTTCGGTCCCTATTGGCCACACGTGAAGGAGGCGTGGCAACTGAGACATCACCCCAACCTCCATTTTATGTTCTATGAGGATTTGAAGACCGATATAATGGGGGAACTGAGGAAGTTAAATAATTTCCTCAGTGTGGACCTCAGCGACGACCAGCTTGAGAAGTGAGTTGTATTGACTGTGTATGTGTGTGTGTGTGTGTGTATGTGTGTGTGTCATATCTTCTAACCACATTCTTCTCCTACAGGATCATTGAAGCCACTTCCTTCAGCAATATGAAAGCCAGGGAAGAAAGTAAGCCAGTGATGAAGACTCTCCAGATGTCCTTCTTCCGTCAGGGTAAGACAGGAGGATTCAAGTCCTTCGCTTCCCCTCAAGTACAAGCTCGTATGGACGCCTGGGTCAAGGAGAACCTGATTGACACGGACATTCCCTTTAAGAGTTAACACGGACCAAAGCTGGGAAGAAGCACGCGAAGAATAGGCACCCTACCTTATTTCACTTGATGAGTAACCTAACCTAACCTAACCTAACCTAACCTAACCTAACCTAACCTAACCAATAGTATTGTAATAACTTTGTTTAATGGTGTTTTAAAGGGAATAAATGAATACCTATTTTGTGCGTTTTTTTTTTCCTATTTGCCTATTTTTAAGACTTTATTTTATTTAATATATTAATTAATCCTCCCATAGGTCTTAATTACATCTTTATTAACAACCTAAGAATAATTATCGAGTTATTATCAAGAATTCAAACACGTCTGGCAGCCATTGTTATCGAGGTGAGGTAGCAGTTGTCGTACGCTGCCATTGTTGTGGTTTATTCGGAACTGGCGGGCGTAGGAAGTCTTCAGCCATTTTTGGTACGAGAAATGTGGCACTAACAATGGGCTTGGCACTTTAGTCTGCTCGTAATAATGCCATTAATATTTCTATATGGTTGTGCTTTTTGGTCTCTCTCTCTCTCTCTCTCTCTCTCTCTCTCTCTCTCACCTGTACTGTAGATTCCCCTTCAGTTGTTCTTGTTTATAAATATATAATTTATTTTATTTTATGGCCAAACTTTTAAGACATTATTATTATTATTATTATTATTATTATTATTATTATTATTATTATTACTATTATTGTTATTATTATTATTATTATTATTATTACTATTATTGTTATTATTATTATTTTTATTACTATTATTGTTATTATTATTATTATTATTATTATTATTATTATTATTGTTATTATCATTATTATTATTATTATTGTTGTTATTATTATTATTATTATTATTATTATTGTTGTTGTTATTGTTGTTGTTGTTGTTATTGTTATTGTTATTGTTATTATTATTATTTACATGAAACCAGTTACCATATGGAGTACAATTTCAACTCCCCAAAAATATTATACTGAAAACTGAGGTAAGGAAATGAAGCAGGTAGTATTAATTATGCACACAGGTGAGAATTACGCAACGCACTGCATACGAGACGGAAAAAAATAATATTCACGCTCAAATACGCAACAAAAATGCGAAATAAATCTGAGTTAAAAATGACAGTATTTATTTTAAGCGTTTCTATAATATTTTTGTTCATGTGTTTATATAATTCACTGTTCATTTGTTCTTGTTATGTTGTTCATTTGTACAGTTGTTATTTTATTTTCTCTTTACGTATTTTTCCCGTTATTTTTCCTCCATTTCCCTCAATTTCTGTCATTATTCACAACCAATCAAACACATGCTTCAGTTATATACAAAGATGATTTTTATTACTATTATTATGGGCAAGACAGACATAAACGCATCGAAACAAAGGATCAGAATCGCTTCAATATCCGATCTGATCTTTTATAAGAGATTCGATCCCAAATAGGTTAGGTTCAAGGTGCTTATGGCGTATCTAGACTCCCCAGATCACTTCATTTATGGGAATTTTACCGTATCGTCTGGTGCTTCCTTACCCTTATACGACCGCCATATGAGTGTGTAGGAAGGTGTGAGGATATAGTGAGGATAGTGTAATGGTGAGGATAGTGCATGGTGAGGATAGAGGATGTTGAAGATAGTGTAGTGAGGATAGTACAATATATAAACAAACCTAATAGTAAAATAATAATGGTTCGTGTAACGAGGATGGCCGACCCAAGGGCCACCCAGGCGTGGATTTGTTAAGGTGTAGAAGTTGTCGCCAACACAACAACCACACCCTGAGTTAACGAGCTGCATGACCTAGTGTCAAGGAATAGTCCGAGAAGACCGGACAACTCGCCAACTGCACTGGCTAATCATTACTCCGGAACACGATCCGTAAATCGATTAACATCCAGGTCCCCAATTACTGCTGGATAGACAGAGGCAAATGGCGTTAAGAAACTTGCCCATAGTTTCACCCTGCCCGGGGGTCGAACCCGGGTCCACACGCTTGCGAGGCGAACTGCAAAACACACACACACACACACACACACACACACACACCATCTTTACTTACACTAATAAATGGTTTGATGTCACAGTCAAAACCTCGTGTTCTTGGTTTAACTACGCCTTAAAGCACGTCAAACCACGCTTCTCAAACACTAATTTCAGACAGGAATTCCCTTGACAGCTTACGTGTGTGTGTGTGTGTGTCTGTGTGTGTGTGTGTGTGTGTGTGTGTGTGTGTGTGTTTTGAAGAATTATACCAAGAGATAGATCATTTTCTCTCTCTCTCTCTCTAGGGGCAGCTTCTTGACATCAAATAAATACCCGAGAAATGTTATACCTTGTTTCTCGTTCTTTATTTTTCCCTCTCTCTCACCTCTCACCTCTCTCTCTCTCTCTTTTTTCCTCTTTCTATCTCTTTTTTCTTTCTTTTCTTTCTTTTTTACCCCCCACTCTCAGCTTTACTCGGATTACATGAAGAATAGGCACCCTAACTTAACCTAACCTAACCTAACCTAACCTAACTTTAACTTCCACGAACCTCTAACCTAACCTCCATGACCTCTACCCTCCACAAACTTCTAACTTTACCTCCACGAACCTCTAACCTGACCTCCACTACCACTACCATCCACGAACATCTAACCTGACCTCCGCTACCACTACCATCCACGAACAACTAACCTAACCTCCACGAACCTCTAACCTGACCTCCACGAACCTCTAACCTGACCTCCACGAACCTCTAACCTGACCTCCACTACCACTACCATCCACGAACAACTAACCTGACCTCCACGAACCTCTAACCTGACCTCCACGAACCTCTAACCTGCCTCCACTACCACTACCCTTCACGAACCTCTAACTTTACCTCCACGAACCTTTAACCTGACCTCCACGAACCTCTAACCTGACCTCCACTACCACTACCATCCACGAACAACTAACCTGACTTCCACGAACCTCTAACCTGACCTCCACGAACCTCTAACCTGACCTCCACGAACCTCTAACCTGACCTCCACTACCACTACCCTTCACGAACCTCTAACTTTACCTCCACGAACCTTTAACCTGACCTCCACGAACCTCTAACCTGACCTCCCACTACCACTACCATCCACGAACAACTAACCTGACTTCCACGAACCTCTAACTGACCTCCACGAACCTCTAACCTGACTCACTGAACTCTAACCTGACCTCACTACCACTACCATCCACGAACCTCTAACCTGACCTCCACGAACCTCTAACTGGACCTCCACTACCACTACCATCCACGAACAACTAACCTGACCTCCACGAACCTCTAACCTGACCTCCACGAACCTCTAACTTTACCTCCACGAACCTTTAACCTGAACACTACCATCCACGAATCTAACCTGACCTCCACGAACCTCTAACCTGACCTCCACGAACCTTTAACCTGACCTCCACGAACCTCTAACCTGACCTCCACTACCACTACCATCCACGAACAACTAACCTGACCTCCACGAACCTCTAACCTGACCTCCACGAACCTCTAACTTTCATAACCTCACGACAAGGAGAAAAAAATCCTTTGGAAGAGACAATAAGAAATAATTTGAGTTCCTAAAGCAGAAGGACTCGGGGAAAATCCTTAATTAGGTTCCTTAATGCCTTGAAGGATCCCTAATAAGGAGATCATTACGTCATCAGGACTCAGCCGTATCCTTCCAGCTATCTGTAGGATTCAGAGTATCCTTTTCATGTCTTTAGGGCTAAGATGGACTCACAAAGGCTAAGATGGACTCACAAAGGCTAAGATGGACTCACAAGGGTTCAGATGGACTCACAAGGGTTCAGATGGACACAAAAAGGTTCAGATGGACTCACAAGGGTTCAGATGGACTCACAAGGGCTCAGATGGATTCACAAAGGCTCAGATGGACTCACAAAGGCTCAGATAGACTCACAAGGGTTCAGATGGACTCACAAGGGTTCAGATGGACACAAAAAGGTTCAGATGGACTCACAAGGGCTCAGATGGATTCACAAAGGCTCAGATGGACTCACAAGGGCTCAGATGGACTCACAAGGGCTCAGATGGATTCACAAAGGCTCAGATGGACTCACAAAGGCTCAGGTGGACTCATAAGGTTTCAGATCGATTCACAAAATTTTAGAGAGAGAGAGAGAGAGAGAGAGAGAGAGAGATTAATATTTCATGCAACCTCAATCAGTCAGTCATTTGTTTATCCTCATTAACACAACAGCTCGACCAATCCCACAAATTAGTGCGACTTTTGTTTAAATCTTTTGTAAATACTTCCCCCACCCCTCCAAAGTATTAAACAAAAATAATAGGTGGTGGTGGTGGTGATAATGGTAGCGGTGGTGGTGGTAGTGGTGGTGGTGGTGGTGGTGGTGTGGTGGTAGGGGTGGTGGTGGGTAGGGTGGTGGTGATGGTGGTGGTAGTGGTGGTGGTGATGGTGGTGGTGTGGTGGTGGTGGTGGTAGTGGTGGTGGTGGTGGTGGTGGTAGTGGTGGTGTGCGTTTATGTGTCTGTGTGCGGGTGTGTATGTCAGTTTGTATGTGTCATGTATGTATATATGTGTATGTGTCAGTAATCACATTAACTTGGTAATTAAACTCTCAAATTAAGAAGACGAGGAGGAGTAGGAAGAGAAGGAGGAGGAGGAGGAGGAGGAGGAGGAGGATGAGGAGGAGGTCTGGAGTGGCAAGATAATGCTACTCATCCAACCAACCACTACAATAATAATAATGGTTGCCCCTCGTGTAACGAGGATGGCCGGCGCAAGGGCCACCTAGGCGTGAATTTGTTTAAGGTGTAGTTGCTGTCGCCAACACAACAACCACACCTTAAGTTAACGAGTTGCATGACCCAGTGTCAAGGAATAGTCCGAGAAGACCGGACAACTCACCAACTGCACTGGCTAACCATTACCCCGGAACACGATCTGCATATCGATTAACATCCAGGTCCCCAATTACTGCTGAGTAGACAGAGGCAAATGGTGTAAAGAAACTTGCCCATAGTTTCACCCTGCCCGGGGATCGAACCCGGGTCCACACGCTTGCGAGGCGAACATGCTGACCATTACACCATAGGTCGCAACACACACACACACACACACACACCGATAAACAAAAATTAATAAAAAATACATACCTAAATATCCACAAACTTCACTCAGGTAAT